ATGCCTTTGGGTAATCTCTTCCTTATTTAATTGGACTGGATCCAGCCACCAGCTTCTAATGAACAGAATGCAGGAGATGAAACAGAATGTCCCTCCTAAGGTTGGGTTATAAAAGGGGGTAGCGTCCACCTTGGTGACACTATCTCTGACTCTCTCTCTTACGTTGTTCCCTTTGGGAGAAGCCAGTCTGGTGCTGTGAGCCAGACGCACAGAGAAGCCCGGGTGGTAAGGAACCAAGACCTGCCATTAACCGTGAGTCAGCTTGGATGTGGATGCCTTGCAGTCGGGCCTTCAGATGAGACCACGGCCTCAGTCAATAAGTTATTTGCAACCTCCCGAGAGACACAGAGCCAGAAGCACCAAGCTCAGCTGTGCCTAGACTGCTGACCCACAGAAACTGTATGATAAGGCATGCTTATGGGTTCATGCCACTAGACATTTGATAATCTGTTATGTACAGCAGAAAATGAGTGCAGTGTCAATTACTCCATTTTGCCAATAAGAAAACAAAACCTCTTGGAGGTAAATTCTTTACCCACAGTCACATAGCTGGCATGAGGCAGATCTGTCTTGCTGCACAGTGGATCCAGTGGGTCCCAGACAGCTGGCCAGCATGCTCAGCCCCCTCTCCCCTATACAACTCTCCACTGCACTGAGCTGTTTCTGGGGACCTCTGTAGGCCCCATGCATATCCATGTGCCATACTTGGCCTGGGTTTAGGGGGCTGTGTTAGCACCCTGCCCTCCCCCCTGGAGTGTCTGGCTCAGCCTACAGCAGCTCCTGCAGGTCCCTGGAATATGTCCATGACAATAAGGTGGGTAAGGGAGGGTGGCAGGACGTAGCTGTGGTGGGCATCGTCGGAGCCAAGCTAATCCCCGATGGGGTCTCCTGCTCTCACGAACACTGCAGTCATCAAGCGAGGACCACTCCCTCAGCCAGATGTGCACACAGCCTTGCCTCCCAGTATGCGTTCTGCTGGAAGAGGACCAGCTCTTCTTTTTCCTCCCTTCACCCTGCCCTACCCCAAATCCCCAAAGGGGGTTCCAGAGAGAGCTATTCTGGGCTCAGCTCCTGTCCCTGTCCTCCCACACCTTCCCAACCCAGGCTCAGTCTCACGGGCCCACACACCACACAGACATCAGGCTTGGTTCCCCTGACACAGAGCCACTCTCGTTCCGATGGGCGTGTCTTAATGGAGGGCACCAGAACCTGGGGACACTCAGCCCTGGGAACCCAGGCAGGACTGGGGGAGCAGAGGACGAAATCAGGGTCCTTGGAGGTAGCCAGGTGGGCCTATACACAGATGCCTGCACGCACACTCCTGAAGGAGCCTCCAGGGAAGCACTCCCGTGTACAGAGCCCTGATCTGGCCCTGGCACACTGATGGCCCTTTGCACCCACTGGTTAACTCGTTCCTGTCTCCAAGCCTACAAGGGGAATCCTTGCAGCCCACCGTGCGGAAGTGGATGGTGTGACTCAGACGGCAATAGGAACAGGATCCAAACTCCCACCAAGAGAAACCACCGCCCCTAACCTGGGCTCTCAAAGCCCTCATGTCCCACCAGAGAGCTCCATCCCACCCAGCCCCTGGGTCCACCTCCAGCTCCAAGTGCCACATGGTCCAGTCAGACACAAGGCTGCACCCCCACACTCTTCCCTCTACTCAACCACCAAGCACCCACTGCCTGCCCACACATGCCCGGGACACGGCGCTGATTCAACTGGACCCACCTGCCCAGAACTCACAGGTGCCCGTAGGGCACTGGCATGCATGCCACCAACTCCCAGAGCTGCTGTCAGGAGACAGATGGCTCCCTTGGGGCTAATCCCAGGTCCCATAAAGCCACATGATGTTTCCATGCCTGTCATCTGTCTGAGAACTAGGAACCCAGAAGCAGAAGTGGAGAGCAGATGAGGAAGTGGCCAGGCTTGGCTTCCCCTCTGTGCTGTGACTCAATCAGCCCTCCATCTCTGTGCTGCTGCACCCCCCTTTGTGCAAGGAGAGAGTGAAAAACAATCTCTCAGGTCCCCATGCCCCAGCACCAGAGGGTGCTAGGCTTTGTTAAGTTCAGAGACCAACCTGGGGGGGTGACATTGTCCCTACTCCTATGTCAGGTGTGCACCATAACACAAACCCTCCTCTGGGGGGCCATCAGCAGCCCCGAGGGAGCGTCAAGGGAGACAAAGGAGGGAAGGGGAGAATAGAGGAAGGGATAGCAGGGGTTACAGGTGCTGAGCCCCTGCTGCCCATCCCCAGACCCACTCCACCAGCCTACCCACTGGGCTGGAAGCAGCTCTGAAAACCTGCCAGACAACAGAGATCAAGAGTGAACTGCTGAAACCACATTCCGAATGAAAATTCTCTTCTCCCAAGGAGCTCAGCTCCTTGCTGCCAGTCCTACCACACGAGTGCGCACGTGTGCGCACACACACACACACACCACAGATACAGAAACACCTGCATCAACAGAATAACACGGGCACATCAAACACACACACAATCCCCATGCCATTGTGTTGAGTCTGTGTCAGGCATTGTGTGTGAGTCTGTGTCAGGCACAGAGGACCACAAATGTGGATCCTCTGAGCACACACAGAAACACAGACATAGCAAAGTCCCTTAAATGCAGGTGGGCACACAGCCTGCAGGGACACGAGCAGAGAGGCCCACCCAGGTGCCTGACCATTGCACCACAGAAACACAGGGAACCCACCCAGCTACTCTCACATACCAGGTAAACCTGCCCTTGGAGCCCTGGGTCAGCTCTCTCTTACACAAACACCCCGCTTCCACTCAGCAATCCAGAGAGCCCAAGCCGCCCCCAGGAAGAAGCACCGCTGCTTTGTCTCTCACGCCACCCTCCTTTCCCCTCCGCCCACGAGGAGGACGCCGGAGCAGCCAGTGTGCGTGGGTCACAGGGGCAGCCGTGCGCGTGGATGTGGAGTGTCCGTGGGAGGATGTGCACGTAAGGGATCAGGCACACGGCAAGGTGGGCATATGTGCCCTCCTCTTGACACCTTCCCCTCCTACTTCTGTTGCAGCCGGGCGAGGCCAGCACACAGGGTCAGCCTAAAGGAGCCTCGTCTGAGGGGTGTGGTCCAGATAAAGCCAAGGGGACCTCAGCACCAATCGCAGCCCTGCCTAGAGGCCCAATCCGGAGGGTCCTCCATGCAGCAGCCCAAGCTACCCTCTCGGATGCCTGTCTAGGTGTGCTTAAAGCCCCCCTGTGACCGCCGACACTCCCATCCTCCTCTTTAAGCCTCCTCACAAACCCACGACAGGGGTGGGGGTGGGCGTCTCACTGGCTGCAGAGAAAACAGAGGCTCCGGACGCTCGAGCATGTGAGCCTGCACACCCATCTGCCTCCTCCGAAGCATGAACTCTGACAGCCATATGCCAGGGGTCTCAGTGTCCTCCTCCCCCAGGGAGCCTACCCCCCAAAGCAGCCAGTAGGCACCATGCCGTGTGCAATGCCCACTCTGAGGGCCTCTCTATCCAACCCAGGCCACGGGCCTCCAAGCCTGACTCCAGTGGAAAATGCCAGTCGGCTCCAGACCCTCTGGCAACAGGGTACACTGTGGCCAATGAGCCTTAAGAAGAGCGCCCTGCCCACAGAGGAGCAGGGCCAGGCTCCGGTCAGCACAGCTCAAGTCTCAGGCCAAAGCCTAGGCCACGGGCACTGCCCCTGGCCTGGCTCCGGATTATGTGTCTTGCAGGCCCTTCCATCTGTCACTTAGCCCACTAGGCCCAGGACGAAATTCATTTCCTTTTAAGAGAGCCAATGGTTGGCTTTTCACATGTCTCCTTCTCTGCCTTTTTCGTTTTTCATTAGAAATTACTCCCCCAAGTCCAGAGCCTGGAAGGAGAAGCCACCTGCCCCCACCAGGCCCAGCCCCCTGCTTCCTTCCCAACTCGCTGCCACCCTCCTTCCTTCCTGGGCCTCTCCCAGCTCCTCTGCCCACCAGACCCAGCAGATGGAGCCTGCCCCATCCCCAAACACCCTGCTGAGGGGTAAGGAAGGGGCTTGGGAAGTGCAACAGTGACGCCCCAAGGTCGGCGCAGGCTGCCTGGCACCAAGGACTCAGCTCCCAGGGCCCAGTACTGACAAAAGAAGCCCCCATGAAGGCTTCTCCTTCTGAGTCTGGTACCACAACATCGGCCATGTTGCTCCCAAAACATGTCACGTGTGTATGTGTGTGCCGGGGTGGAGGCCAGCAAGGGCTCCGCCGAGGGAGAGCTGGTGCTCTCCAAGTTCAGACCCTCCTTCCTCTTCTCCCGGGTTAACGCCCTCTCCCCACAAGGCAGAAAGTAAACCAGATGACAGCACGTCAGCCCCAGGGGGGTGGGGGGTAGGGGGCAGAGAGGGACAGGCAGTGCCTCCACAAATGGGACCCAATCTGAGCACCTCCCACCCGTCCACCTGCCTGCTGTCGGTCTGTCTGACTGGACCTCATCTAACCCCAAGGGTGGGAAGTTGGGGGCAGCCAGGCAATTTGGGGGCTGTCACTTGCCTACTGGTGTGCTATGCACAAGCTGGCCCCGGTACACACCCACAGACACTGCCAACACACACAAGCACTCGCTCCAGGGGGACACAGTTCTGACCTCCGTGGCCCCAAAACAGAACCCCACCGTCTAACCACTTGGCTTCAGTCACAGGGGGCAGAGTGTACCCACACCTTGGACCTCACACCCCACTGGGTGGGGTGGGGGGCTGGTCAGAGCACCCCAGGGAGGAAGAAGAGTGATCTTGGGGAGAGTCAGCTGTGTGACCTCCTAAGGCGATCAGGGGCAGCCCCCTTCCTGCGCTCCCAGCCCCCTGGCTGTTTCTCTCCCCTGCGGCCCAGAGCCATCCGCCCCCACAGCCCTGGGAGCCTTCAAGGAGGGCAGAGGTGGCGGGGCTGAGGAGTCCCACCCACCACCCCCCCACCGCCGCCCTGCAGCCCCGGCCGCCCCAGGTGGTCCCCGCGCTGGGGCTGGGCGGACCTCCAGGCCTTACCGTGGAGGGTGCTCCGGGTGATCTGTCCCCCCATGGCGAGCAGCGGGCAGCACGGCCACCTCCGTGTGGCCAGCTAGCCTCGTCACCGAGCCGCCGGCTGCCCTCCTCTTCCCCCACGGCCAGCGGCCGGCATGGCAGCGCCAAGCCACAGCCCCTCCCGCGCCCCCCACGCGCTCCGCCCGCGAGGCGGCCCCACACGCACGCACACCCCTCTGCCCGCGCCCACCGCCTCCCAGCTCCCACCCACTCCCGGAGCCTCCCCCACCGCCCGCGCTGGTACAGGCAGGGGATCTATCATGTTTATTTACATAAGGAGGAGGAGACTGGAGCGTCCTGAAATAGCCAGCCCAGAAAGCACTGGAGATGCCCCAGTGTGTGCACGCGCGCGCGCACACACACAGACACAGACACGCAGACACACACAGGCTGCACGCCTGTCTTCCCCATCACACACCTCACCCCCACTCCTGCCACACACGCGTTTGCTCCGCCCGGGTACTCAGGTGCCTGCTACGCACAGAGACGGGGCCGGGCGGGGTGGGGCAGGGGCACCCGGGAGGCAGCCCAGATGCTGGCCCTGTCCTAACTGGCGAGCTCAAAGGGGCACAGGTCCCACCTTCTTCCAGGCACCTTCCCCAGGGCTCCGCCTGGATGGGCAGGGGCAGGGCTCTCGAGCTCATCAATCGGCGCCATTCTCGTTATTATTATTATCTGGCAGATGAAAAACAGGAGACAAAGAAAGGTTGCCGGCTTAGAAAGTGGCAGGGCTGGGACTTGAACTGTGGCAGTGTGGCTGCGCTAGAAGCCACACTGTAACACCACACCTGTCCTTTCAACCATACCCAGGCATCTGCCCCACCCTCTAGTGCAGAGACCCACCCTCTGCAATGACACCATGTCACACCCATTCTACAAACAAGCATTTGCCATCTGCACGTTCAGCCACCTGCCACTCAGCAGATGCACGCATGCCCGCACGCACACATCTTGTGCTGTTCACACTGGAAAAATCTTCAAGTTCAAAACTTGGCAGCCCATGCTTGGGAGAGACAAAAGTACAGACTTTCGCAGAGGTGATGGTACAGGCTAGGTACCAGGGTACCAGGCAGTGGGCCTGACATACAGCCTAGAGTGGGGTGGGGAGGAGGCTACTATTATACCCATTTACAGAACAGAAAGTAGAGGCTCCAAGAGGCTAAGGAACTTGACTGAGGTGACCCAGCAGGTCAGAGACACACTCACAGGCTCTCCTCGGGACAATGACCTCTCCCAGGATGACAGGACAGCTTCCTCTTCCCAGGCCCAGGCCCTGCCCTGGTCCAGACCCTGCCCCTAGCTCCTGTCCTCAGAGCTAAGGAGCTGAGTTCCCAAGGGAAGGTCGTTTCGGGGAGAGCAGGCCAGTGGGTCAGCTGGAGGTGGGGTTGGGAAGGAGTCATGGGAAAGGCCAGGGCTGTCCCCTATGATGTAGAACTCAGAGGCCTGGGACGCTGTACAGAGAGCTGTGTTGGGTTCTGAGGCCTCAACCCCTGCATGGACCTGGGGGAGGAGCACAGAGAAGGGGGCCTGTTTGGGGTCATTAGAGAGAGGGCTGGGCAGCCCTGGGTGGACCAGGCACAAACCCAGCACACTTTCCTCCTCCCAGCTCCAACAGGGCAGTCCCCTGTTAGCCTACACACCTGGCTGTGCAGTGTCCTGCACACATACATTCGAGTGCACACACACACACACACACACACACCCTCCCAAGCATACACACTTAGGGGAGAGGAAATAACCCAAAGCCCCTTCACAGAGCTAGACATATGCTAACAGCACACAATCACAAGGTCTTACTGAGTGCCAGGCACTGTTCCAAGCCCATCGCACACATAGTAACCTATTGTATCATTATGCCTATTTTACACATAAGGCAACTGAGGCAAAAAGAAGCTGTCCGAGGGACTCCTCCACCAGCAGCTGGATCACCCCCTCATCCTGCCTGTCTTGCCTTTTTTTCAAAACCATTTTATTGGGAGTTGATGCAGATATCAGATCAAGCATATTGTACAATTGCTACTACAATCAGTTTCAAAACACTCTCTTCCTTCTTAAACTTCTTGACATCAGTTCCCCCCTCTCTCGCACACTGTACCCCCCAGGAACCCTTATTCTACTTGCTGTCTCAATAGGTTCATCAATCCTGAGTTCCATATAGTGTTGATCTCTGGACCATGCTAAGGGGAGTTCTGGGTAGGGAACTCTATCTCAGCACCATCTTCCTGTCTGCCTTTTCATGAGCATGGCGGGACCTTTGCATCCCCCTCCCCACGTGGCCAACCTGAGCACCCTGCAGCAGAGCCTCCACACGCCAGGTTCCTTCCAACCTTGGCTCCTGCCTTCTCCCTGCTTGGAGTGGCTCCTTTCAGGCCAGCCAGCACGGGGACTCCCCATTCCAGGAAGCCTCCTGGTGCCCCGGGGACAGAGGGAATCTCCTTTCTTGGAGCCTGTCTCTCCTCCGGGCCCCCGAACTATGCCTCTCCCACCCTGGTGTTCGTCAACCGTACAAAGAAGCAGCAGTGTTGATTCAACCCAAATGCTGCCAACATTTACTGAGCACCTACTCTGTGCAGACACAAAACTCTGCCCTGGATCTCAATAGTGATTGACAGCAGGCAGGCCCTGGCCCTGTGGGCTTCCAGGCCAGAGCAGGAGTCAGCAAACTTTTGAGGCTGAAGAGCCAGTCCTGTCTCTCACAACAATTTAAAAATTATTTGAGAGTCATCAATATATTTTGACAACCCAATGAAATCACCAGTATCTGAATAATATCCTTTGAATTAAATGATGAAGGTTTTCTTTACAGTTCCAGTTTTACCCCAGAGCCACATGTCTGTACCAAAAGAGCTGCCTGTGGCCCGAGAGCCAGCTTGCCAGCCCCTGGGCCAGAGGAAAACTGGAGTTTACCAGGTCTCCTCACTAAGGAATGGGTGGTCAGAAGGATCCGTAAGCCTGCCCTGGCAAGGGCATCAGAATGAATGACCCCAATACTGAGCACAGCATGTGTAAAGGCCCTGTGGCTGGAAAAGCAAGAGAAACAAGGCTGGCATGGCCAGAGCAGAATGGGCAAGGAGGACAAGACAAGGTGGCTGGGAACACGTGAGA